GTACCTACTTCTAGAGAAAGTATGGGGAACAATGACTTTTCAGATGTCATTTAACTGCAGTCCTGATCACTGATCATGGTGGCTAAAGCTAATAGAGGTGAGCTTCTGCCATCATTGGGAAAGTTACATATATTAGTGTTTCTGTCATGCATGTTCTTTTCAAGTTTCTCAGTGTTCAACCCCAGTTATTCAATATAATTACATGCAGTAGACTCCTAAAAATAATTAGGATTAAAGCAACTGTGAGGAGGACCTTTGCTCATTCATTGTGTTTCAAAGAAATCTACAATCACAGTCTATGTCAACCTTGAATAAATGTTATTGATATTGAATTCTGTGCAGTTTACATTATGTATATGAAAAGTTATTTTTTTTCTAGTAGTGCAGCAGAAGGACCAGCAAATAGCCCAGTATCTCCTAATCTACAAGAGAAGCCTGTTGGACAATCTCCTCTTAGATCTCCTTTGAAACGGCAAGAATCAGTATGTTCTGGTCGACATGGAAGCACCAAAAGTCTTACTGCAGCCTTCTATGGTGATAAGCAGCCTGTTCCAGTTGGTGTACAGTTCAGCAGTGATGTTTCACGTAGTGATGAAAACGTGTTAGATTCTCCAAAGCAAAGAAGAAGTTTTGGTTCTTTTCCTTATACACCTTCTGCAGACTCAAATTCATTTCATCAGTATCGTTCTATGGACTCCAGCATGTCAATGGCTGATAGTGAAGCTTATTTCTCAGCTGCTGAGGACTTTGAGCCCATCAGCAGTGATGAAGGCCCAGGAACCTATCCTGGGAGGAAAAAGAAGAGAAAACAAGCCAAACAAATTGATTATGGGAGAGGCTCAATGTATCATAGTGTAGAAGGACCACTTACTACTACCTGTCATGGAGAAACTAGTCAAGATACAAAAAAATTACCAATAAAAATGCATCCTTCACAAGCTTCATTTGTCTCTGCTTTGGGAGGAGAGGATGATCTTGTTGAACATTTATATATCATAGAAACTGAGAAGGCTCCTGAGAATGAACAAATTACTTCGCAGCAGCCTTTAATGAACTGCTTCCAAAGCTACCTCACCCAGTACCAAGTTATTAACTGGTCAGTAAAACATCCAACAAATAAAAGGACCTCCAAATCATCTTTACATAGGCCATTAGATCTCGACACTCCAACTAGTGAAGAAAGTTCCTCATATTTTGAGCAGCTTTCTGTTCCAACTTTTAAGGTAAAAACCATAATGTATTTATTTGTTGACCTACTTATCTACATGTATATGCAAAAACAAAATTGAAAAAAAAAGTAATAAAACCTATCAATTACTTATGGTAGTTGTCCTAATTCAGATTACCTATGGGCAATAGCTTACTATAGTAACACAAATGTTTACTTGTTTTTGAAACATTAACAGAACAATAGAGTTGGAAGGGACTTTGGAGGTCTTCTAGTCCAATCCTCTGCTTTAACCCTCACATTAACAGGGCAGATGCTACATACTTTGGGGAAAAGGTATCTCAAAGAGTGTGGGCTATCCCACAAAAGCCTGTCATCCATCCATCATCCCCTCACCCCCATCCCCCTCTCTCCCCCTCCCTCTATAAATATATAGATATAGATATAACATATCTGAACTAGCAACATATATTAACATTCCATCTAGATTAGTAAAAAAACAATAAAATATAAATGTTAAAAAGACCTATGTTCAAATACCAATGTCTAGGCCATCTAACCATGTGATGTGATCTATCATTTGACATGGGACCCTGCAGTCACACTGAGGGGAGGATACTATGCCCCATTTATACTTTATACAGAGAGTCCTGGCAGATGCTGTGGGAGGTGCGAATCCTATTCAGGATTGTCCATTGCTAACGTGGTAGCTCATAGCCTTGCACCTTTTTTGTGGGGTCATTTATATGTCTTCCTATGTCTGGGTGTTCAATGATCCATTTGGCTTTCCACTGGGATTCAATGTTAAAGTTGTTGGGCAGATGTTGTGCAAGTCCCAGTGGGGTCTTCCTTGATTTCAGTCTTCCAGCTGATAAATGAGGAAGGTCGGCATGCACTGGTAGGAGTGACTTGTTCGTAATTTTTCTGTAGTCATTATTTCTATCTTACATGCACTTAACATGCTTTCTCTAGATGAGTAGATCAGATAGCAGAGTCAATTCTGGCAAGGCTTTGCCTGATTTTTCTTTCTTCTGTATCATGACCAGCATTTTGAATTGGGCCTGGAAGCTTAGTGTCAACTGATAGAGTTGCTTTAACATTGTTATTATTCCTTATGCCTCTATTAATAATTTTATATTAGCTGCAGCTTATCAGATTTCCATATGCATCCCCATGTTACTGCAGTTCAATTGGATAGTGATCTAGGCATATCAGAGTATTATGATCCAGGTAGAGTTGCATTTGACATACCAGCTAGAGCTGGGCAAAAGCTCTCCTCCTCCCCAACCTGCTTACTGAATAGGAACAAAAAGTCCAGGAGAACCCTCAAATCACAAACTACCTCCTTTGTGAGGAGTATAATCCTGTTCAGAGTAACTACTTGGGGATATGTCACTTCGTTCTTCAAATGTTTATTGATAAGTATTAATGCTCTCTTGGTAGGATTTAATCTCAAGGTTCTTTCACACCATATATGTCCTTACTGTTTCCAGATTAGCATAAGATTTCCATATTGTCTGCAGCTCAGGCTGGGGTATCAGTTTATAATTCAATGTCATCAGCATGCCTCACCCCAAACCAACAGATAACTTCTCTCAGCATTATAAATATCGAACCTCTTCTGAGAGAATCCTGATTGATGAGGGACTTCATATTGATATTTTCATGGATTTAAGTGGTTTTATCTTACAATCACTGACTAGAACCATCCATGGATATAGGAGTGGAACCATTCCAAAACAGTGTCTTCAGTGTTTCCAGTCAGAATATTATGATGAATTGTACAATGCACTAACAAGAAGTCTAATAGGATCAAAAGAGTGCATTCCCTCCCATCTGTATCTTGAGAAAGGTTATGCAACAGAGTGATTAGTGCCATTTCTATTTCATAACTAGGCCAGAATGGAATTAAAAAGGCTCTAGATAATTTGTTTCTTCTAGAATTTCCCATCACAAATAAATTGTAAACAATGCATTTAAAATTTATAATTTCACTGAATTCTTGTTAATGTGAATTTTTCAAATGTTAAAAAATATAGAAAATAATATTTTCTTTCCAAATGAGCGAGCTTATTCATTTGGAATTTAGCATAGTAAAATCTTTGAATTAGGAATTCATTTTGACATCTTTTAAATTGAACTTGCCATACAGGCAAACTCAGCTGAATTGTTTATATTCATTCCTTTGGTAGTTTTTCCATTAGAAAAAAGTATATTATGGCATATCAATGCTAAGATTGCCATGATTGATCATATAAAAATGTAAAAGTAGGAAGGAATATAAAATATTTTACACTACAGGACAAAAGACTTGATAAAAGCTCTCAAAGAGTAATAGCATATTATTTTTTCCAGATTGTTAAACAAGGTCTTAAAGCTAATGCTCTACTGGATCGAGGCATGCAGCTTACAGGATCAACTTCTAAGTGAGTAACAAGTTATGACTCGTTTTTAACATGTTGAAAGTTAAATTAAAACTATAAAGTTTTGTTCCACATTTTGGGAATATGTATAAGTAACAGTCTCCCTTCAGTAGTGCTGAATATTTGTATCTTATTCATATACTACAATTGCTCCGGTCAGAAGATAATGAAATGCTGTTCATATTTATTTGCACTGAATTTTCACACTACAGAAGTAGCTTCTAAGTTGCTTATTCTTATAAGCTGATTTTGTTTTCCGACTGTTCTGAACATTTTTCAAATTCAGCAATATTTATTAGACTAGCTTTTTTGAAAAGTTTGAAAAATAAGCTTTTTAAGTTTTTAAAGGAAAGTTAAATGAATCCATAAAATGTTGTTCAAGAAATTATGAGACTTATGATGTAGACTTAATTGATATGTATAGTATGCTATAGCTTGCTAAGGATAGGACAAACATGATGAAAGTATTTATGTACACTATCTTACATTTCCTGTACCTCTCAAATAGTTTCTGTACTGTGCTTAAGAAAAACTCCTTGCTTTGAAATGTATTTTGCATGCACAAAACTGATGAATTGCTGTTTAATCATTTAAATGTAATCCATATATCATTTGGAAATATTTTTATTTATTGTTGATTAAGAGATCTTCATTATATACAGTTTGTCTATGATGATGAACCAACATATATTTCAAACAGAGTGACATTTATTTGATGCCAGAAATTTTTATCATTTAAGACGTTCTAGTACTTGAAGCTTGGTTTTCATAATAATTGTAGAAATATAATGTCTACCATCCTCTTACACCAAACCTGCTTATTGCCATTGGAGGATATGTCCTGTAAATATAGTATTAGATAATATTAGATAATGGATTTATATCTCTGATTTTATTACTCTGAATTGGTAGGATACATTTTATATTTTTGTAAAAATAAATAAATTACAGATCAAAAAATGCATTTAAAATTAGTTCAAACCAATAACATGAAAAAGCACCAATTCAGTGGTCAGTTCTATTGTCTTCTGGATACTTATTCATGTTATTACTTTGTCTTTGTGTGAACGCTTATTACTTTTTAACTTAGTAAATTTACACTTTCTTCATTTACTGCACTTATCAAAAGTAGATCATTTTATCCTGAAAAGATGATTAGGTAAATAATCTTTTCCAATAAATTCTATTGTGGCATGTAATCAGCAAAAAGATAAAATTAAAAAATTAATATTTTGTTTCCCACTTGTTTATTTAGCACTCCGTATACTCCCTTGGAAAAGAAAATCCTTGATAACATAGATGATGAAACAGTAACAGAGGAATGGACTCTTGATCATCCAGTTTGTCAGACCAGAACAACAGCTATTGTTGAAGTAAAAGGAACCGTGGATATAGTTCTTAGTCCTCTTGTAGCAGAAGTTTTAGACAGGTATTTCTTAGTTTCAAGAGCTATATGCACATAATATGGTTGTCACATTTCTTCTTGGCCTGGGAAGGTACAAACATATGTTGTCTGAAACAGATGTGAATAAAGAGTCTTTTCAGTATTTTTTTCCTGCAGCCTTATGTGTTATATGGCGCAGCTGAGGTGGTGCAGTGGTTAGAATGCAGTACTGCAGGCTACTTTGGCTGACTGCTGGCTGCCAGCAGTTTGGCAGTTACAGTCCCACCGGCTCAAGGTTGACTCAGCCTTCCATCCTTCCGATGTCGGTAAAATAATGACCCAGATTGATAATGATAATGATGATAAAGTTGGAAGGGACCTTGGAGGCCATCTAGTCCAACCTCCTGCTCAGGCAGGAAACCCTATACCATTTCG